GCAGTTCAGCGTTTGAATCAGAGGCATGTTGTGGAGCCGTGAATATTACAAAGGCATGCTATAGCCTAGCGTAGGCATGGACAATCTTTGACTGCACGCGGGCCTGATTTACATGCTTAATTAAATTTGCGGGCCACCTTTTATTAAAATTCAGGTAAAAACACACCAAGTTTGCCCATGCGATTATGTGTTTTTGCTCTAAATTTAACGCAGTCAGATTGTTAGCAGTGTAAATAGTCTCAAAGTATTTTTGAGACTGTTGTTTGTTAGCCTCATGCATAGTTTAGTTTTATTTATTTTCATGAGAGTGCAGAGGTTTGCCGTTCATCTAGTTAGGCACCGCATTCCGATTCCCTCCGTGGGCCGGATTAAAACTGGTCGCAAGCCAGATCTGGCCCGTGGATCGCCGATCGCCCACCTGTGGCCTAGCGGATGGGGATTTTTATTGGTTCATGCAAACGGTACAGTTAGCCTGGCAAGATTTCAGCCAGGCCAAATTTTTTCGTTTTTTCGTTTTTTTTTTTGTTGGAGTTTTTGGAACTCATTTTGGTGTAATTTTTATTCGACGATGAATTTCTTCCCGCAGCAAGTGAAGTGATATTTTAGATTCCTGAAGTACCGATATAACTATACGCCGCCTGCCGACCTTGAAAATCAAGTTAGGGAAGCGGCAGAACAAGTATACCTTATTGCTAAAGGCGAAGATATACGAAGCATTGATCTCACCAAGGATCGGCGGTTGAAATTCCAAGTATTATTCCGTATTTCTTGAAATTTCGCAAGACTCAGGCATGAAATACACTAAGAGTATTGTTTAGGCTGCGCTGTTATTCATTGGCTTTTTAACATTTCCTTAAAAATTAGTTGAGACTATTGTGTTTAAAGTTTGTTTGAAAAATGTCGGAATTTATGATTTTAAAAAAATTGACTGATATCTTCCGAAATTTATCCTGTTTTCCTGTCTGCAATAACTATTTTTGATAAGCCGTTGTTTTTATCATTGTGTTTCTTCACGCATTTCTTCAATTTTTCCGCTACTGGCCATTTTGAGTCTTTCTCATTCACATAATTCCATATAGCAGTTTCAAGCCGATCTTTTTACCGTGTTGGTAGTCTTCCCAGTTTCATATTAACATTGGGTAAATATCTTTTATTCAAAAAGCTGCTTTATCCAAATGATGCCTGTTGTTCTTGCCACGTGATTAGCGCACTTCCCGGGGTATGTTATCTTGATAATATTGCTCATATTGGACCGGGAATTCACTATCCCATTGGAGATTCTTGATTTGCTACGAATATATTCACGAAAATTGACTAAGTTTGATTAAAATACTTAAGAAACTGGACTGTGCTAAGGATTATTTCAGTTGCTGGATTTGTTAGGGGAGAGGTTATGCCACGTAGTTCCCAATTCCGAGCTGCATCAGATGAAAACAGTTGGTGATTTAATTGATTTTTACGGGCGACCATTCCGGAATCTTACGCAATATGCGCAAATGGCTCGCGATTGCAAGAAAACATTACCAAAAAATTTGCATATAATGGAACATCCGGTTCGATTTCACCCCGAAGATACTCACACTTACCACGGAGGTTTGTGCTTTTATACGCTTTTTTACGCCACTTATAAATATTGTTATGTAAGAAGTGAATTATTTAATATTTCCAAGCTATCTTTTGGAATGTTTTTTTTAGGCGAAACAGCGTTTCCTGGCAGAGGAGGCGAAGTGTACGGCTTGCGGAACAAACGATTATACAGGCAGTTCAAGCCCAAAAAAGACTGGTTCGATTACGAAGAAGAGTCATTCGATTATACTCGTCCAGACGAAGGCATGCCTTGGGATCCTAAAATCGCTGAGCGTATGGATCGATATCCAACAAAAAGATTCAGCTTGAAGTCGAAAATGTTCACACGAACTTGATTTT